GTAGGCATAGATGTTAAGTATTTGCCCGGTTGGTCAGGAAATCAGCGAATCCCCACACTGAACATCTTGGATTATGCTAGTTCATTGCAAATCATGGTGCCGTTGTTCAAGAAAGAAACCGCACACAGCATTCGTCAAGCCTTCCAAGAACGTTGGATGTCGTGGGCAGGCATGCCACATGAGATCATTTGTGACCCTGCACGCGCAAACATCGCTGATGCATTCTCCCTGGCGATGGAACAGGGTGGCGCCACTTTCAAGCTGACAGCGGCTGACGCCCATTGGCAGCTAGGGAAATGTGAAGTACATGGTGGGTGGTTTGCCAGAGTTCTCGAAAAGATCATGGCTGAACATGTACCCCGCACACAAGAAGCCTGGCTCGAATGTGTCCATGCTGCACACTGTAAGAACCAGTTGATTCAGGTTTATGGGATGACCCCCTCACAATTTGTGTTCGGCAAAAACCCCCGGGTACCTGAGAATCTGATGGATGAACCTCTGGAGGTGATACCTGCTACTGCTGCCCTCTACGAAGAAGCCATTGCTAAACAGGTAGCCATTCGGCAAACCGCCCGACGTGCTGTGTTGGAACTGCAAGACGATCGCTCGTTGCGTCGTGCTTTGGCCGCTCGTCCCAGGGTTCAACAGACCTATAGTCCCGGAACTTATGTTGCCTTTTGGAGATCTCAAAAGTGGGTACATGGTGCTCTTGAGAAATCGGGGCGCTGGTGTGGTCCCGCAGTGGTTTTGGGGTATGTGGGTCGAAATGCAGTCATCATTCATAAGAGGCAAGTTTTCCGATGTGCCCCCGAGCAACTTCGACCGTCTACTCAGGATGAAAAGAAGCTAGTTGAGACCCCCCAAATGGAGTTCTTAGGTATCAAGCATTTGATCGAGACCAACCAGTTGGCGAGTAGGCAGTTCATAGACTTGGTGCCAGACTCATACCCTAGCCATCCAGAGGAATCCGACCTGGCTCCACCGCCAGTTAGTGCCCCTGCAACACAAGAGCCCCAGTCCATCTCTGATCGTGTCTCGGTTCCGATGCCACTTGATGCTCCACAAACAGTTGTGCCCGAACCACCGCAATCCGAGTTCGTAGATAAGTCATGGGTGCTTCCGGAGGAACCTCAGACCGAGCAGCCAAAGCCAGTGTCTGCCGAATCTGAACTGGCATATGGGCCTGTTCGTCAGCCTCGTCGCCGGATCCATCAAAAGGATGGTCCTATGGCCTTGTACCGCCCGGGTCCCATGCTGCAAGAGGATTTCCAAGAAATGATGCAAGAAATCGTTCCCGAACTGGTGAATCAAGTCCTGTCAGAAGAAGCAGCCAGTGATCCGAGCCATGCCTCGTCCTCGGCGTCCCAGCCGTCTCGGGGTGTTAAACGATCAATCGACGGCGCTGATGACACTACTGCCGAACCGGCAGATAAGCGACCAGCCTTTGATCCACCTGACGAGGCCTTGTTCGCTGAGCCGACTGGTCAGACTTTTGCTTGTGATGAGATGGCAGTTTGTTCAGTTGAGCTACTTGATAAACACCTGGTTCCTCAAGCATCGGATTCCCTGTCCCTAGAGGACAAAAAGGCATTGGTACGATTGTTTCGAGAAGGTGCCCCTCATGAGGTCATGGTAGCTGCTTATATGAAGAAGAAGTCCTCGAAAGAAATTCCTGCATTTGGTAATCCCCCTGATATCCAGAAGAAGGTCGATGAAGCTAAGGTATTAGAATGGGGTACCATCACCGCCAAGCATGCAGGCAGACCTGTCCTAGGCCCTGAGGCAGATGAAGTCAGGAAGCATTTGAGCCATCGCATCATGGGTAGCCGTTTTGTGATGACCATCAAACATGAAGATGGTGCTGATCCCCGGATGAAGGCGAGATGGTGTCTCTTGGGTCACCTCGACCCAGATCTCACGGCCAAGGCCGAGATTGGCGATCTGCAGAGTCCCACCTTGTCTCAGGTTGGTCGAAACCTAGTGTTTCAGCTGATTGCTAGCAATAAATGGCGTATGGCCCTGGGAGATGTGAAGGGCGCCTTCCTGTCTGCCGGGAACCTTCCCAAGCGATACCGACCGCTCTACGCCCGCCTTCCACCAGGCGGTATTCCTGGTCTGCCAGATGACGCCTTGATTGAGGTAGTTGGTCATGTGTACGGATTGAACGATTCCCCAGCTGCATGGTACAAGAAGCTATGTCAAGAACTACTGCAAGTTGGTTTTGAACGTTCTCAATTCGACTCGTGCCTTTTCTATTTTCGGGAGAAGGGTAAGTTGACCGGTATATATGGTGTGCATGTAGACGATTGTGTCACTGGGGGAGATGGTGTAGGGTATCAACAAGCAATTCAGAAGCTTCAATCCACCTTTGAGTTCCGAAAATGGAGAACCGGGTCAGGTGATTTTTGTGGTGCACAGTACACTCAATGTGACAAGACATGTGAAATCACCATGAGTCAATCGCAGTTCGTAGAAAAGATCCGACCCCTCCATCTAACTCGAGAGAGGTGTCAAGAGAAGACCAGCCCGCTGACCGATAAGGAAATTAGCTGTCTCCGGGCCATCAATGGCAGTCTTAATTGGCTGGCCAATCAGTCTCGGCCTGATCTAGCTGCTCAAGTTTCCTTTTCACAACAGTCATTCCCCAAACCGACAGTAGCTGATGCAATTGCAGCAAACCAAGCGATTCGACGAGCGAGACAACATGCTGATCAAACCATTCGTTTTTGCTGTATTGAACCAGAGAGCCTTGGACTGATGTGTCACTCGGATGCAGCATTTGGCAACGCCAAGGCTGGAGCGACTCAGGCCGGTTTCATTGTCAGCTTCACTCATAAAGCCATAAATGATGGTGCCGATTGCGCCTGGTCTCCGGCTTATTGGAAGAGTTTTCGCCTTCCCAGAGTGGTGAATTCCACTTTAAGTGCCGAGGCTCAAAGCATGTCCGTGGCCTCCAGTATGGTAGAGTGGACGAACTTGATCCTATCCGAAGCTTTAGATGGCCCCCGATGTTGTAGGAGTTTATGGTCTGGGTTGGGTAACCGCTTGACTCTAGTGATCACTGATTGTAAGTCACTTTATGATCATCTCCTCTCGCAGTCGTCGCCGACTCTCGACGATCGCCGTACCGCCATTGACATCGTGATCCTGAGAGACAGCATCTCTAGGATGAAAGCGTCCCTAAGGTGGATCCCCACGGATCGAATGCTGGCTGATGCCTTGACCAAAGAATCGCCGGAAGCGTTTGACTTGCTTCGTGCATGTCTGAGAACCACCAGGTATCAGATCAGCCCTGAGGCACTTGTTCTGCAGAGAAGAGCTAGCGAGCGTGAGCGTCGAAAATCGTTCGCTTCGAAACAGGCCCCACAGCCTCCTAAGGAGGATAAGGCACGTTGAGTGATGACTTAGTTTTTGAAAGGTTTGGCATTCGTGTGTTTCTCTTTACATGGAGTCTGGATGGGCGACTCCGTCGTAAGTGCATTGGAATGTTGTCAAATGTCAAGCACTCGTAATTCAAGATCATTTTTGTGTACTTAGTTTGATCCCTGGCACACGCTGACTGTGAGAATTTTTGATGCAGTGAGTTTGTTGTGAGCTCTGCTTTTGGACACAAGTCGTTTCGTCCGCAGAGCTTTCTCCACAGTTCCCGAGCGAGTACGAGCTTTGTTTGTTTTTGGCACCAATCGCCATGGCATCCAGCAAGCCATCGTTCACTTTGGCCGAGGCCGATGAATGTGTCCGCCTGGTACGGCTGGCACGCAAGGCAGGATGGTGGAAGTCCGTCTGGCAGCGGGTCGTGGATTTGGACGACCTTGCCGAAGATTTGTCATGGGAGGCCGTGTCTCCTAATGCCCTCGCTGGCTCGATGACTGACGGCTCCAAGCGCCTCCGTGATGAAGGCAGCACGTCGAAGATGGTGACCTATGCGCCTGCCGGATCTGGCCATGATGTCATGAAGAATGTTCCCATGCCCTCGACAGGGTACCCTGTTGGAGCTCCGAGTCCTTCAGTGGCACTCCCAGATGGAGTACCTACCGTGGAACGGTGGGGTCAGACCCTTGTGAGTTTCGGGAAATTTAAAGATGCCAAGACATATGCAGAGCTTTTCGACTCCACGGATGCATCCATTGCGTCCTATCGGAACTATTGTGTGTCCCACTTCAAGAGTGGATCTCCGGGTCTGAAAGACCTTGTTTCGTACTTCAAGGCCCGTGGTTTGAATGATGCAAGTCAGTGCGTCATTCCTGGAAGCCATACCTCTCGGCATTTTAGAGAGGATTGATAGGAGTGTTGATCGACCGCGTATCATGTCAGGACGCCAGGGACTTTCATGCCCAAGGAGGAAAAGGGCCGCATGGATCGCGGCTTCATAGGTGTGTGCTGCCAACATATATATATATATTGTATACAGTATATATATATAACATCCATGTGTTTCTCAATGTTTTCTTCCACTCCCACCCCTCTCCCAGACCTCATGAAGCAGAATATATTTGTTTGCTCCTAAACGCTCCTAGCTAAAACATGCTACGCCCCAAAAAACAGCGATGGCGAGAGTTGAACGCACCCCACTTACTTACCCTTGAACGCCTCAGCGGCGGGTTACGCTCTGGTGGAAGAGTGGAAAACCGATGTGACAGCTGAGCTCCTGGTGAGGTGACTGAAAACCGATGGAGTTGTCTCGGAGTGAACCCGAAAGCGAAAACACATGTCATCCGTCTCCGTTGGTTGAAAGCAATTCACCCATCTTCATTCATAATAGTTCATCGGTGAAGAAGCCGGGATCCAACAGGACTTGAGGTTGGTGCACAAGCATGCCTTCTGCCAGACTGAGTGAGCGGTAAATTTAGAAGATGTCTTAAATGTATATATACAATATACATATCGCATGTTCTTTTTTCACATGTTCATTTAAACAGACTACTACGTAGTATAGTGGTTTATTTCAATAACTCGGAGAAGATGGGAAAGCTCTGGCATGATCACCCTCACCTCGCCAGGCTTTGCTCGGACATTTGGAACAGGAAGTCGCAGCACCCGAAGCCACTCGGCATGCGGTGGAGCAGGTGGTATCGGGATGGCCACGAGGTGTATAAGCATATTCATATGTAGTATATGTCAATGTACTCAGTAAAACTAAAGTAGCACAGAGCTTCTTGGATGGCTAGTTATGTGTGCGAACCAGTCTTGGATGTTGCGTTCATGCAGGGAGCCGATTTGAAACTCTTGGACACCTTCCAGGCCTCCACAGGGTGTTCCATCTCTTGGTTCGGTTTTTCCTGATTGGTATAGATAGCTGCGTGACAGGCCGTCAGGCCCGACCGGTTCACACAACCCGGGGGGGCTCAAAATAGTAGTAATGCCCTTGTTACTATAGTAGCTTCTTGCTACTAGTAAGGCCAGGAGCTACTAGTAGCTTCTTGCTACTAGTCCCTTGATACTATAGGAGTAAGTGAAATGGAAGAATGGGGGAGGTTTCTCTGGGTCATTTCAGTTTCATGTCGGGGTACCTGGAGAGGCTGGTGCCCAGAACATCCGTGGCCCGCGGTGCACCATGATTTGCCCTGATTTCTCGTCCAAATCTTCGATCCAAAACAAACATGCTCACGCCGAGAGTCGTGTTACCGAGGACTGATCGAATACTATAGGAATGGATCTCTGCTCATGCCCATGTTTGGGCGCTCACGAAATCCCCAGCTTCAACGGAACATCGGCGTGTAGAGGGGTGTTCCACCAACGGCACCAACGTCACACAGTCCGACGCCCTTCCGCCGCCCTTCCACGCCCTCGCTCCCTTCGGGCCCCCCCGTTCGACCGCTCCCTTCGTAGCAACTGATCCAGGCAACGCCGGAGCGGTTGTTGGAGCTGGTGTCGCAGCTGCCCAGCGCTTCGCAACGAGCGCAGCCGCCCGGAGCCCGGACCGACCCGGCGGGGCCCTGCGGGAGCGGCGGGGGTTTGGGCAGACTTCGCGGTTGGCGGTTTGGCGAGTCGTTTTTCACTGGAAACTCGTCATAAGATGGGGACTCCCAAGCAATATCAGTCAATTTCGCATAGCTACCAAGCTAACTACAAGGCGGGAAGGGGCATTGTCGAGGCGTCTTATAGTTAATTTTCACTGTTTATCACTTTTCCTTTTTGGGTTTCACTGGGGGTCTCCCTAGTCTAATACACATCCCAGTACACATCCCTATAGTGCTACGAATCTCAGATTCGACCACGTTCGGCTTGCCTTCCCGGGCCTCTGTGGAAATCGAGCTTGAACCTTGACTCTTGGACCGGCTCTCTGGACTGGGCGAGCTAAGCTTGCGCGCTTGGACCGACTCTGGACCGACTCTCCGAGCCCGAGGGCGCCGTAGGTGGATGCAGATATACATCGAAGGGTAAGGATGGACGAAAAAGGACGAAAAAGGAGCAGAAGAGAAAGGATGGAGGCTGATCACAATCTCGTGATCATCACCCAATGGCCGGAACAGCAGGGCACGAAGATGGCAGATGGGCAGCCCAGGATGGCCTGTCACAGCCTGCTTTGGTAGCGTTGGAATTGGCCATTGCCTGTATTTGTTCTTGGCCTCAACCAGCCAGCACAAGGTTTTAACCATGCTTTACAAAGCTGAATCGACGGAAGCTCCACAAAAAACACCTCCCAACCTGTGTGCCCCCAACTACGTAGTGAGCTTCTGGTAAATGAAGCCCCAATGATATGGAGACAGAGTCTCAGAGGCCGCCGCTTTTCGTTTCGGTGTTCGATGAATCGGTCGACCCAGCTCCGGATGAGACGGCAGAGACGTCACCGACGACGCCACTGGGAAGGTGGAAACAAACAACACCAAACACCAAAGTAACTGGGTGTTCCTCATCGTTGATGGTCTCAGTTGGACATGTGAGCAGAGTCGTCTCAGCTAGGTCGTCACAGAATCGTCTCGTGCGGACCGCGAGGAGGAACTGAGAACTGTTTGATACCTTTTGGCGCCAGAGCAGCACAGACCATTTGAGGAGAAAGGCGTGCCTTTTTAGGAAACATGGAACTGTTCGGGCAAAGGAAGAAAGATGGAAACCTTCAACTCGACCAGTCGATCCTCAGTCGGAGGCATGCGTGCGTGCGCCAGGCATGTACATCTGAGATTGATACACCCAACACAGACCCAACCCAGGTTTTGCTTGAGGTTCCTATTCTTGTTTCCGGTGCCTTAAGCAAATCCTATGGACATCTATGGACCCCTGATGTATGTGTTTTCAATCCGGTGAAGTTTACTGTTTGTTGCTATAGGACATGTTGATTCATGCCTGATGTCCTTTTTCATGAAAACAATGTGTTTCCTGGAGAACTGCTGAACCCAAGCTGCGTCGAAACTAGCTGCGTTGGATCGTACCAAGGCCTTCCGGCGCCTTGGCCAAGCGCTTGCAGGACGGTGGACTCAGCTGATCCACAGAGTGTGATTCTCCTCCGGCTTTCACTGTCATATGCAGGGGGCTAGCGGCCCATTTCTCGACGCTAGCCAATGAAGCTAGAGAGAAGGGGTGATGAGTCTGTGGACGCACAGATTTGTACTTGCTGTTGTTGCTTCGGGGCTCAGGGGCCCTTTTGGAATTGGTACATTGCATGTCACTCACTCTTGTCATTGTCACTCATTGTCACATGCGAATCTCATGATCGCCGGCAATAACAGGTTGAGACACAAAGGCAAATTTAAAATTGGTGCTAAGCTTAGAAGTCAGTTTCAATAAGTGACTAAAAATTTAGTTTTACAAAATGTTTCATGAATTTAACTTTAAAACTCTAAACGTAATAAAATTTATACAATAATAAGAATCGAATTATTTTAAGTAGGCTTGAGGCCGCCGTCGTGAACCGGCTCAAGAAGCAGCATTTGCATTGCAACAGCAGCAAATGTCTCAAGCAGCTACTCTGACGCGGCGCTTCTACTCTGCACCATGGTGGCTTGCGCCGATGGCTTTCTTGCCGCCGACTGTGCCCGGTGGCTTCGCGCCGCTGGGCGACCATGGTCGGCTCAGCGCCGACTTATTATCCCGGCGGCTCCGGGCAGCTGGGCTGCCATGGTCGGCTTAGCGCCGACTGTGGCCACCATGGTCGGCTCCGAAGCTTTTCGCAATCAACATCCTGCGTTTCTCAAAGTCTTGGCATGGGCTCTGGAAAGAGGTGGGCGGCGCATGTTGAAGGCGACCAGCCTGGAAAAACAGAGATCCATTACACTCCTGGCCGAGCGAGATCCTGAAGCAAAGAAATTGATAGCAAAGTCTTTGCACACGTTTGGAAAAGACACTTTTGTGCAGTACTTGACTGAAAAGTGCCAAGTGAAGGAGAAATCCTTTTTCGTAGCAAAACTTCGGGGTTAGTGGCAGGGATGTGACCAAAAGCGCAGAGTTCAGCGATGCAAGGGGAGAAAAATTTAACAATTGCTTCATGTTCATTATGCCGCAACCGTGCAACTTCTTACGCGGACCCGGGCCGGTCTGGCGATGCGTAAGGACGGAGCGCGCGTCAATTCTTACGCGGACCCGGGCCGGTCTGGAACTGCGTAAGGGGGGTAGCAAATCGCTACTATCACTACCCGAACCCGGGCCGGTCTGGCCTTGCGTAGGGACGGTAGCAAAATGCGTTAGACTAGTAGCAAATCAAAAAGTTAGCATCCTTAGGCGTTTTGCTACTATCCTTACCCCACTCCGGGCCGGTCTGGCTGTGGGTAGGGACAGTAGGGATTTGCTACCCCCCTTACGACGACGAAACCACAGGGTCCCTTGCGTAAATCTGCCCCTTGCGTAAATCAAAAATGAACTTGAGTTTGTTATTTTTCTCTCATTGCTCAGTCCGAGTTTCTTTTAAGATAGCCATATACACTCCTCCTCACTTCGGACTGGGTGTCGTTAGTTACTTATTAATCAACGACGACGACATGAAACTGCAAGTGTTTGCAAATAAAACATAGCCTGCTTCCGAGTCTTCTTGTAAGATTCACCCGTCCTTCCTGGCCATGGCGCCAAAGAGGAAAATGAGCTTCGCGCGAGGCGTTGCACTGAAGGCTCGCGGATTGCCGCAGACGGAGGTTGAGGAGCACATATAGCCCTGCGTGATTTTGTTCGGGACCACAAGAACAGGCGGAAACCTGCGCCCATGCCAAAAGGAAAAAACGAATTTTTGCTGACTGCGTGGGCATCAGCTCCGAAATGATAGCTTTCGCTCTACTCGGACTCGAGGACAAGCACATGGAGTTTGTGGGAGGAACAGAAAAAGATACCATGAAGCGATGCCTTCTGCAAGCCGTCCACAAAGCTTTGAATTTGTCAACCCAAAAGGAGCGGCTGCAGCATGACATTTTCGATCGACGCTTGGATGAAACAATTCAATCCCAAGCGATTTGTACATTGTAGGGTTTCCTTGTCCAGCGTACAGTAGCTGCGGCAAGAAGCGTGGCGCGCGCGATGGGCTAAGAAGAGGCCTTCTTCTTTTTGATGTTTGAGAATGAATAAACTGTTTTAACTTCGGGCTTTTGAAAACACCAGTCTTACATTTGAAACTGAAGTCTTACATTTCTAGCCAGCAACAATTAATTCTAACTTTGCCTTTGTGTCATGACTTTTCTACATTTTTAATTACTTGTAACTGTTAAAGGTTTTTAATACGTAATAATGGGATCAAGTTACCTGAGATCTGCATGTAACAATGAATGACAATGATGGCTGTACCATTTCCAAAAGGGCCCCTGAGCCCCCTAGCAACAACGGCAAGTGTACCTGCAAAGCAACTGTTGATCACGCTGTCCACTTCCTTCGTTTGCATGGTCCTTCTCACGATACCTCCCTTTAAACCAAAGGGTTTTTTCCTTCAGCCGCTTGCCGCTGTCACGTTGCTGCAGTCACGCGTCAACATTGTTGAACATTTCGGTTGAGCTGATCTTGCGCCATTCCGTTCCCTCACCTTTTCGACGTGGAACAGAGTCAACTGAAAGCCCTATGACTAAGTGTGTGCCGCTCTGTCGTCCCACTGGGTGCAGAGTGTGATCTCCCGCAAGGGAGCGCTGAGACCATTGGGAATCACATATCGACTTGGCGTTTTTGCACTTGTGAATCAGGTTGCTGGCTCGTTTCCGTCTCACCCATGAATCTTCTGAAGCCTACGCTGCCGAGCCACGGAGATTTGACACCGCCGGGTCCACGGAGTTTCTCCCGCTCTCGTTTCAGAGCTTTCGCGGTTCAAGTCTTTTGATGCTGGCATCCACGTTCGTTCATGTACTGTTACAGATTTGATTGGCCAGCTTTCCGACATTTTCTCGACATTTCATGTACAACTAGTTTCACTTATACGCTCCGATAGACGTTCAACAGCTTGTTCACCTCTATGTCCAAAAAGGACACGCAGCATCTGACTGCAAAAGTTTTTTGAAACGACCAAAAAAAAGGACAGCTGTCATCGTTCGGAGCGCCGCTAAGTGGCTATGTGTGTGTGTGTCACCCTCCCTCTCTAGGAGCTTTGATTACCACGATCCTCTCTGTCATATGCAGGGGGCTAGCGGCCCATTTCTCGACGCTAGCCAACGAAGCTAGAGAGAAGGGGTGATGAGTCTGTGGACGCACAGATTTGTACCTGCAAAGCAACTGTTGATCACGCTGTCCACTTCCTTCGTTTGCATGGTCCTTCTCACGATACCTCCCTTTAAACCAAAGGGTTTTATCCTTCAGCCGCTTGCCGCTGTCACGTTGCTGCAGTCACGCGTCAACATTGTTGAACATTTCGGTTGAGCTGATCTTGCGCCATTCCGTTCCCTCACCTTTTCGACGTGGAACAGAGTTAACTGAAAACCCTATGACTAAGTGTGTGCCGCGGTTGTGGTTGAACCGTAGGGTGTTTACGCATCTGCTTTTGGGCCACAATGAGTTTCGGTTCTTTTATTCCGGCCAACTGGTGTGTCCTCACGTGTTGCCTGGAAGAGACCAAAACCTGTTGCAGGAGGTGGCAGAGCAGCACAATGGCCTAGTGCCCTTGTGCCGCGGCACAACGTTTCGGGCTGTTGGGTGGGGATGGGTTCCTGATGAGTCTCGACCAGGACACATGTCTTAAGAAATGAGGCGCACATGGATCCTGGTTCAAACACCACCGTCCAAAGTACCATATAGACTCATAGACCTTTTGAAGCCTTAGGACAGGTACTTGTAGGAGAAAAAGGTTGCTCACAAGCGGACGTCTGTGACTGTGGAGACTCCGACAGATGAGAGTTTTTCATCTCAGTTGGACCCGGAAATTGAACATCCAGACATCGTCAAACCCAAGGGTCATCTCAAACTCTTCCATACTGACATGGCAAAGAGGAAAGACAAAAACCATAATTGGTTGTGAGGTGTCCCTCTTTAAACACATCATCCCCACATCTTGACTGTCCAAAAAGGCATACTCTTAGACCCAAACAGTCCCTCTTGGCATGGAAGGGATATCTGTATCTCTAAGACACGAAAACAACCCGACAGCCAAAGGACCAATCTGGACAGCCAAGACATGGCAAATGACTCAGGATCCAAGATCACCGTCATCACCGGGTGGGAGGATTGAGTGAATGACCATGTTTGAGGCTACTAAGGCAGGTGTGTCTACCCAAACGCTCCATTTGGAGGCCTTGGTCCCTCAAATGAGGCTCAAACGCCCGTTGGAGCATGTAGTCCATTTTCACTGCGCATCATTGGGAGTGTGTGAATGTCTTTTGCCCCCCCTGGCGTTTCGAGGGAAACAACGCCAGGTCCGACGGCGTAGGCCACGGCGTTTTCACTGCTTCGGCCCGTCCGGAGTCGGTTGGGGGTCGGGGGTCACGGTTCGCTTCTGAGATCGAACCGTTCCCCCGAACGGGTTCCAGTCATACGAACGCAAAGAAGGTATGACAGGACCAAACACCTTCCTTCGTGGGTTGGGTCGTGTGTAGTATCTCTTTTCGTCTTGGCCCTAAACCGGCCCCGAACCAACACAGGGTTTGGGAACCGGGTCCGGACCAGCTGCGAAGAGGTGGAGAAGGTCCGACCCCTGCCTGGTCGGGTCCGTTCGGATTCTGCCAGGATGGGTGGGGCTGAAGGATGTGGTGAGGTTGGTTTGGGGGTCACGTTGGGGACTGTGCCCGACGCCCTGTGTGTCTCGGCCATGGTACAGCAAATAGATGTAATTAGCTGAATGAACCACACTCGACCAAACACCTATGCCTCGGCTGCCTCGGGCGAACAAAAGAAGCCAACGAGATCAAACGAGTGTGTCTGATTGAATCGTTGGATCTTCACCGTCTTCACCCTCACGTTACTTCAGATCCCCCCGGGCTGAGATCGTCTCGGCTGCTGTGCGTTTTTCGCTGCTCTCTGGTTGTCGTCCAAGGCACGGACGGCTCTTTGCACAGTGGCTCCACCATGCCTATCCTCGTGAGTGCGGGACACAGACGGCGGGACACAGGGCGGGCGGCTCATCCGGAGGCTTCATGGCTTAGTTGTTCTTTTTCGCTGGAAAGTCCAATCTCAGACCATCCATGGGACTGGAAGAATTTATAGAATTCGACGCCAGCAACTCGCCAACCCCGTCGAACATGACCTGTCGTAAGTAATTGTTCCAGTCCCATGAATGGTCTAAAAAATCGTCCAGGGCGATGTCCAGGATGAAGGGTCTGAGCCATGTCTCAAGTTCTCACTGGACGCCAGGTCACGCACGCGGACGCCAGGTCACGCGGAGTGGAGGTTTTGGGTGCCATCGCCCGAGGAACTCCACGCAGATGGTTCGGCCATTCCAGGGGTGGGTGGTTTCAGAAAGTCATTTCAAGGGTCAATGTAGAGAAACAATGAAGACCAGAAACGTCAAGTTCGGAACGTGCAGGAGTTTGTGTAGGTCGAGGTTGGTGGGCTGTGTTCACTCTGCATGTCGTGGACGAGTGAATCAGTTGTTTACAGTTTCTGAGGGAAAGGTGATGAACTTTCCACCCAGGGTGGAATTTCTAATTATCAGGACATCCAAAAGGACAACTTGTTTGTAAGTTGATGTAAGTTCTAAGGCGTCCACAGCCAGGGTAGAGCATATAGTCGGCTTCAAGGATACAGGATGTTGTCCCCAGTTGTTCGCATAGCGTGGCAGTGAGCAGTAGGAAGTATGACCCCTCCAAAACTAGTAACATGACCAACCATGTGAGGGACTGCAGCCCATCTTAGTTCTTTTTGTTCTAGTTCTTCCTCAAGAGGCTTCAGAGTAGATGGGCCAGATGGGCGGTTTCCCTCAGATGCTTGCTCAAGGCTTATAAAAAACTTTCATTGGAAAGAACATGTTTTCATGTTAAAAAAAAACGTCAAAAACAGTCAAAAAAAGTCAATCCCAAAAGTCAAAGGCAAAACACACAAATTGAAAAGTTAAAAAAAAGGTCAAAAAAAGTCAACAGTCAACAAAAAGTCAAAAAAAAACGTCAAACAAAAACTTTGCATAGGTAAACAAGTCAAGGAACAGCTTGTAACAAGGCAAATTGCAGCCTTTTTGCTTATGGCTTATGGCTTTCAGTCTATTAAACTTTCTAGAACCTTTTTGGTTGTTCAACTTTCACCTTTTCCAGCCCCAAGCCAGCCCCAACCCCTACCCCAGAGTCGCAGGATCCCTATCCAGCCCCAGCCACTGTCCCAGGGTCTCTTCAGCCCCAAGTCAGCTGCTGATCAAATTTTGGGGCAGGTTGCTGCGAGGGCCAGGCTTTGGGCTGGCTGCGGCTGGCTCCTGGCGGAGGGGTCAGGTTGAGGTCGAGCTGAGGCAGGCTACAGGCGGGCTGGGGCATGCGGGGCTGGGCCGGCAAAAAAAAGTCAAAAAAAAGTCAAAAAAAGATCAAAAAAAACAGTCAAAAAAAGTCAAATGTGCGGATCCTAGCCTTGGCAGATTACTGGAGGCAACAAAGAGTCAAAAAAGTAAAAAAAAAGTCAAAAGTGGAAAAATGCAAAAAAAGTCAAAAAAACAAAAAAACAGTCGAAAAAAAGTCAACAAAAACATACCAAAAAAAGTCAAATGTGAAAACCAAGCGCGGATCCTAGCCTTGGCGGATTACTGGAGGCAACAAAAAGTCAAAAACAAGTCAAAAAAAAAGTCAAAAAAGTCGAAAAAAAGTCAATTCTGCTCGCGACTCTGGGGCCGGACAGGGCTGGGTACTTGTGACTCTGGGGTGGCTACCAGGGCACCAGGGACAGGGCTGGCTTGGGGCTGAAGAGACCCTGGGACAGTGGCAGGGGTCCTGCAACTCTGGGGTAGGGGGTTGGGGCTGGCTTGGGGCTGGCTTGGGGCTGGAAAAGGTGAAAGTTGAACAACTAAAAAGGTTCTAGAATTTTTAATAGACTGAAAGCCACAAGCCATAAGCAAAAAGGCTGCAATTTGCCTTGGCTGACTTATGAGCTTGTTACTAGTTTAGTTCAATGTTGTTGTCCTCTTTGCCTGTGTTTTCCATATATATGCTGGCTTTCTTTTGCTCCTGAGTCGCTTGACTGGACATTTTTTTGTTGAACTTTTTTTTGTTTTTTTCTTTTCAATTTGTTTTTTTGACTTTGACTTTTCCAGTTGACTTTTTTTTGACATTTTTTTAAATCAAGGATTCTGGTCTTACCATATTAAAGGTTTTTATAACTCAAGGCCATATCAAGGCCACTTCTTGGGTGGGTTCCGCAGGCAGGATCCATCAACTCCAGGTCAGGTGTGCCGTTCATCTAGCAAATTGCTGTACCAGGACCTTCCCAGTCACCGAACTTGAGATCCCAGTGGCTGAGGTCACTGACCAATCCTGAAGAGGTCACTGAGAAGGTCCTGGTAGATGGTGTCCCATGGTGTCTTCATGTCCCAAGTCTCCACAGTAGGGCCGTTCTCCAACGGCGACCAGGATCCGAATCCTCGGCGACACATGGATGACTGCACCCTGCTGTACCTGCTATACCCCTACACTGATGAACCTGGGTGGGACCCCCCCTCGGATATAATGGCTGTGAGTTAAAACCCGCAGGGCGCCAACCCTTGGTAGGTTGACCATGTCAGGTAGTCTATTCTGTTCATTTTCGGAAAAGAACAGGGTCCCCAGTGCGAGAACATCTCCCACATGGTTCCGTTCGTTTATCGCGCAGAACGGGCAGTTCCGCTCCCACGACCCTTCCCCAGCAGCTTCCAGTATCGGTGGCCTTGATCAGTCGCATAAGAGGCGGCCCGACGAACTGCTCCCAAACACGACCTGTTTGGGATTGGAGTATTGACCTAGCTGCTTGAGATACGGGTCACCGGACAATGGACAACCCTACACTACTCATTAATAGGTCACCATTGGACACCCATTGGAAGCCCTAGGCCCTAGGTACATTGACCCCTAAACCCTAAACCGCCCTTGGCCTTCCCAGACACGACCTGTCTGGGACTGGAGTATTTGACCTACATTGACCCCTTTCCACCGGCCTACCACCCCTGGCCTTTTCTGGGCCAATTTGTGGCAGTCCCAGGTCAGGTCAGGTCGAACATCGGACGTCCTTCGTCGCATGGTACGTCGTCCGGGTTCCACGTGATGTCAAGGTGCCCCTTTCCACATCCCAGTGGCAAGACGAATCCCATGACGGCGGACGAATGGATGCAGGTCACCAAACCGGCGCGGCTTGTTTGGACGATGCTTTGGCGGCGCTGCTGAGAAGTTGGAGGAACACAGCAAGCACATACAAAAACCAAATCAGTCATCACAGAAGAGGAAACAGAAGAAGCTAAGAACCATGAAGAAGCTAGGAGGTGGGGCTTTGACATGCTTTGACCCCCTGAACACGCCACATGCCTGGCCCGCGCTCTCACCCCGCTCTCACCGCGCGACCGCCGGGAACCGGCGACACCATTCGCCCACCTCGGTAGAAGGAGGACGAGCGCCCGAACCCACCCCAAGCACCTGAGGATCTGGGAGTGTCTGGGAGCCAGGTAGAAGGGGTGAAGCAGATCGCGCCTGGCGTCAGGTGAAGCGGCAAGGTGTGGCAGCGAGCAAGGAGGTGTGGGAACCGGCCGAGCACTGGACGACGGAGGTGTCAACCAGGCGGTCAGGACGGCTCTTTGATCAGAACATGACATAAAGTGTCAGACGGAGGTGTCAGGTTTATGAAGTTTATGCTGTTGCCACCTTTTTATGGTCTGGTGGTGTTTGGAAGATAGCAGATAGCTTTCTCTTGTTATAGCTGGGGATTGAACAACTGCCAGGACAAATATATGGACACATATAATCTATAAGTTGTTTTTTCATGCTCCGTTTTGTTCGTGGGTTCACAAAGAACTTGGTTCGTCCCATGAGATTTTCATAATGATATGCGGATAGAACTGGGCTGGTCGTTGGTTCTTAGATGTTCTTAGGACGTATTTTTTGGAGCTAGATTCTTTTGGCGACATGTTGAGATCTTCAAATGTGTTGAACCTGGGAGAGCAGAGCCACAGCCGAATCTTCCCGGGTAGAAGACCCAATCGTGGCTTGGAGAATGCGTCCGTATCGTGTTTTAATTTTTTCAGCTCATGAAGGGCATGTGAATGGGATTTTGCCTTTGTTGCTTCAACCACGCATCGGTGTTTCGATGTGTTAGCTATGGCTTAAACATGCTTATTACTAAGGACTTCTGGCAAAGGATCCTTTCGATAGTTGCTGGGTTTCCTTTGGTTTCCTGATGGTGGACACATTGTCATCCACATAAAGGGATTGTTCCTTTTGCCACACTAATTAGGTGTATTGGCTGAATACAGGAAACCATACAGGAAACAAAAATGAACAAAGTACATTTCTCGCATTTGTGTTCTTCTCATGATTGCTAGTTATATTAGTTGTGCCTTCTGAGCATCCCCATATGAATGGATACTCTTCGAATCTTTTCGATGTGTGCTTCCTATTGTCGCATCAGAAAGGGAGCATCTCCGGGCCGTTTGGAAGTCCTAAATGTTTGTCGCTGCTTTGGGTGCCATAGAGCAAGGTGGCTCAAGAAATGTCTATATATCGTATATATTTGTTTGTCCCTTTTTTTGTTCTATCGTTTCTATTTTCTATTTGTTTTCAAGAGCGAGGCTAGCCGCGCAACGACAGGTGTCTCACGTGATGCCGTATCGCTGTGAGCGATGTACGAACCAGGAGATGCGGCGCTACATGAATTCCCCGCAGGCCAAGGCAGGAGGCATGGGACCAGCTGATGTTTCATGAGCTATCAAGCTCCAAAAAGGCTGTGAATTTATGATATATGAATGTTAGTACTGTGAATAAGTGTGAATACATACGTTGGTAATCAAACCATGTCTTTCATTTGGTACCGCTACAGGATTGGCTTGGTTTTAGAGAACTCCCAATCCAGGGGCTCATCTATGTTCAGACATTTTCCATGTGTCCGGTCTCATACTCTTTTTGTTTCGCCAATTTGTTGTGTGTATAGATGCCTGGCAGAAACGGCTGATTGGACACATTTGTAGAGGTCCCCGGCTAAGTAAAAGGGGCGTTTAACATTTTGACAGACTGATCCAAGGCATTTGCAAAACAAGCCCAGTAAATCCCAGTATGATCCCAGTCATCCCTCTGTGAAGACACAACATGTCTGGTAGCTTTTTCTAAGTCTTGAAACCCCACTGTCACAAGTTGCTTGGCTTCAATATAGCGCCACCAATATGAGCAATCCCTTGGGTCTGTCCCATTACCAGTAACAGTCAGTAAACGATTATCACTATTTTAGAGAAAGGACTGCAACTGAACCATCATAAGAGCGATGGCCTCCAACCTAAGCGATGGCCTCCAACCTCAGAGCGATGGCCTCCACATGTTCTCCAACCTAAGAGTGATGGCCTCCGCCTTGATCGAACGCACCCGATGGCCAACACCGGTCGACTCTTCTGCAGAACACCGTGACCTGATCCGCTGCGAGGCCACCGTGCCCACCGTGACGTCCGAAACCTTGCCCTGGAGCCACGAGGCGAAAGCGGAAGCGATCCGAAGGTGACCGAGGTACTCTCCCTGGAACTAACATGGACGTGGATGGCACCACCTGTTTGGTTCGTGGATTGCATGGTCTTCCTAACTCAGGGCCATGGCATCCACTTCCATGTTAGTTCCAGGGAGTGCAAGATTGGAGAATGCGAGATCTGTTTTGTTGATCCATTCGTGATACTATTTGTGATACATTGGTGTATCTACTGTATATTATATATATGTTGAAATCTCGATCATTGCCCCGATATAGTCCATCCTTTTTGTTCTACCAGACTTTCATAAAGAGATTGGATTGTAAGGGAACTGGTGAATACGTCTCCGTCTTCAGACCAACCTTTCAGAGGCTCGAGCCAAGACGTTGGTGTCACCGCAGGGCTCGAGCGATCTTCCTTGCCATATGGACCGCAGTTATGGACCTACTGATGGACCTCTTGGGACCGTTTTGAGCCGAACTTGGGGGAATCCTCATGGAATCGAATACTCTTGAGGACCATAAACCCACCCCAATTGGATTGAACAACCTCTTGCAATTGGAGGGGTTTATGGTCCTCAAACGTCTACATTATATAGCTGAATGGAATTGACGTTCCTAATTTCTTTTGGACTTTAGGAAGTGAACTCCCAAACATGGGTATTGGTTGGTCTTCTTGAGACCCTAGACTGGACGATCTGCCATGGCAGCCATGGCTTGTAAGCCCTCAAAACGCTACTGTGCTTGGTTGAGAACATCTCTATACCAGCACCCTCCAACAGGTGCTTCCTGGTGACAACAGGCGTCCAGAAACCACCTGTTAGGGTCTCCAAACAGCTTGTTGGAGAGTCCTGGTATGTGTGTATGAAAATAGGGAGACCTCCCAAACACCATTCGAAAATGACCAAAAACCATTGGGCCAGCGGCCAGGGGCCGTGAGAACATCCATATAATGAGAACCTCATCGAAGCGAACTTTGTGTGACGTGAAAATCTGACTGATTCTTCGATTCCGTGGAATGAACCCCCAAAAGCGATTCAGGAACGGTGCGGAGTCGCTTGAAATCCCCACTGGTCAGTCCCCTTGTCATACCTCGTCGTCGGAGTCCCGTCGTTCGCCCAAGCCGCCACCGAGTGTCTGTGCCTCGAAGCGCCAGGAAGAATTGGTGGCACGCCACAAGACGGGCGACTCCCGAGGCGCATCCGACGAAACGTCACTCGTCACGTGACTCGTCACGGCACGGCACGAAGTCGTCCGCTGAGCCACGAGTGCTCACTCCACGGAGTCGTCCGTTGAGGCACCGTTTCAGGCGGGGCGAGCCTGATCCTTCCCTACAAGTCAAAGACCTCATGAAATACTGGGAGATGGCCATACAAAACCCATACTTCAGGAGGTAAAAGACCAGGTTTTACTGGGTCAGACTGGACTTGTAGGGCTTTGTGGAGTTGGAGCCCTTTTTGTTGCTCGCTTCGCTGGGGAACAGGTTAAATTGAGCATTGCTTTGCTCGCGGATAGCATACTCCGATATACTCTAGTATTCACATTTTTTCTGGGTTCCAAACCACATGCCAAATGCGCAAGTAGTTGATTTTCCGGGAGTTCCCCCGAAGACATGGCCCTGAAGTAGGTCTTTTGCCGGGTCCTTGGTTCGTCAAGACGCTTCAATGGGCGCTTTGTTTGGTTGCTGGACTTTGTTGCGTGGGAAGATGACTGAAAACTGTTTGTTCTAGGGCTTTCTAGATGAGATCATTTTAAAGGAGGTGTGGATGGCTTTTGCACACCTGCCGTTGCCAGGATACCTCCGACAGGCATGCGGCACTGGAACCCTTCTGCGGAACCAGAGATGGGACTGGGGGGCATTGATGTTCAAGACGTCTTCCAAAAATACAGAGATGCAGTGACGCAGGCCCATGAAGCTACAAGCTAGCTGTACTGGCACCCTGAGATTAATTAGTAGCTGGGAAACCGGTGGATACAAGTTATTCTGCACCACTTGAGGCAAGGAAGAAACCATGGATACTGCCGGTATTTTGGGTATTTTGTAAAACTATGTTCGGGAACTTCCCCAAGATTCTGGAAAGCCATGGCCCACTAACCTTTTTTTGACGGCGGCGGATTGTCGAGTTAAAGCTGGTTGCGCCCAGACGCTCCGTTCACGGCCCAACTGGTCCCTCACAACCGATTTGAGACCCTAGAATTCGGGTCCGACCCCGAGGATTCGGGTCCAGACTTCGCGTTTGGACTGGTTTTAGGAAGTGGAATGGTCCCAACCTTTAAAGCAGCACTGCGGCACTGTGTCAAAAGGATGACGTCATAGCTCCTTCCCACTCCATCTCGCGGCCATTTTTGGACCACAGAGTTGTGTGTGACAGTCGGCATGTTTCTGCGGGATGCGATAAGTATTGAGTGATAAGTATAGACTCAAGACCTTTAGGCCTTTAGGCCTTTAGTGATAAGTGTGTGATAAGTGATAAGTATGTATTAAGTGATGAACTCCGATCAGACCGGCCCTTAGAGTTGGAACACGAGTCCAACAAGTCCAACAGCGCCACGGTTCGGCCCACGGTTCGGCCGATGGAGAAGAAACACAAGGGGGTTCCCTTTCCGTTCTACTGCAGTGGAATGGCCAGTCTCGAAAGTCAAACCCAAGTTTCGGAGGCCAGTCTCCCAGAGGCCCGCCACGTTTTTGTGTCGACATTGCATCTCTCAAAAGCTGCCGCCACGTTTGTTGTAAGTAAAACACATCCGAAACGAGGAATTGGTGAACCTTTTGGCAGTTTGATTCAGTTTGCAAAGATTCTGTCAATCTGGTGCAGATGAGTAAGCTACTCGACCCACGACCTGCAAGCCACCACAATTCCCCGAACGACAGGCACATGGCTGAAAAAAAATGGACACCACCAGTGAAACATCGCTTCATCCATGCTGAGGGACCCTAAACCCTATCCCGGCAAGAGAACACCGGCCCTGTCCCACCGGCCCTGTAGGAACCCCTATAGTGTGTCCACACTGGTTTGAGGATGTCTATGGATGTCTCAATGATGTGTGGTTGCGCAAGCGCCGCAAGCGCCAGGTCCTCTGGTGCTTGGCCGCTGCCGGGATCGTCACCCAGATGTTGCGCCAAGCGCTGCATGGCTTTGGCCGAGGGCAGGCGGCTCCCAAGGGACTCCGGAAGAGTCGCGTTCGATGACAGACCACTGGCCCGGAGCCAGGTTGGAAATTCGATCCCCATACCCACAGCATCCACGTCACTCTATTGGAATAGATCATGAATCATTGTACATTCAACATAGGATTTAGATTTATGATTTATGTTCCAATTTGTTTTGTAATGAAACTCTTCCATAGTCCATAGTTACATGGATTGCTTTGTGTCATGAGACTGGGTCTGCAGAACCAGGATCCTCTACCGGCCACGACGGAACTGGTCGGTTGAAGGGTGGTTGAACTCACGACCCATCCTCATGTGCGTTGAAGAACATATATGCAGTATAGTAATATGTTGAATACTAGGACCCTCCAAGGGGTGCCCAATGGAAGCTTATAGGTAGTGTGGGGTAGTCCATTGGACACCCCTTGGAGGGTCCTGGTATAATATGATAGGTATTCAGTTTTCGGAAGGTTCACCCGGTTGCTGTGATTTGAAGCTAGGAGAATGGTTTGAAGCTAGGGGTTCCTTTTTCAGCTGGATGCACCAGCTACAAGCAGATCCTAAGGTTCGGTGCTTGGGGTGTGGGGGTTGGAGAGGGTGGGTCTTTCCAGGATTTTCCAGGTCTGTTGAGTATGCCCTCTTCCCCAATTGTATCCCGAATTGGGTGTGAAAAACAAGATGGAACCCACAAACCCGAATGTGAGATATAAGTGAAAGGAGCAGATTGATATCAGACATGACATGGGACAGCAAATGAACACCGATCGGATTATTATTCTCTCGCGCGTGTACGCTTTGCAGCAGCACAGACTCACGCAAACGCAGTTTCCACCGAATCTTTTGGGACACTTTTTTGTGGGGGACTCTTGTCGAACACTCTCGTGGGACACTCTTTTGGGACAATCACGCACAACACTCTGGTGGTGGGACAGTGTAACACTCTTGCAGTGCATGAGACATTCTCGCAAAACACTCTTGTCGGATATTCGTGTGGGACACTCTTGCAGCACATTCTTGCAAGACACTTGTGGGACACTCTCGTGTGACACCTAACTCGAAAAGAACACCCCGCATTTTCTTCAGTAAGATGAAGTCATTATAACCAGGAGTCACAAGGATAGGGTTCCTTTTGTTTGGAATTCCTGATGTTCATGAACTCCTCTTTTGAATTCCTGACTCATCGCTTCCCCCGGTCGCCCCCTTCTCCACGTCGCCTCTTGATCTGCGACGCCTCGTTCTCTCGCCAGGAGATGCTCATTCCCTTGGCGGGGAGCCCCACGACTTGCTCCGGTGGAAAGACGTGGAAAACACGTTTTTCCCCAAACAGTGTGGACACACTAGGGTGATGCTTAGATCGCTGAAGCGCGCGGGCGTGACCGGCTAATTCGCTGCTATTTACAGTACGTTCATGCCTCTCGACATCGTCCATGTGCACTTCGACTGCGCAGGCTCGCAGAATCTGGGTGGCGGCAGTGGGTGCTTCCAGCGACTGCGCTCTCGTTGTGGTGCCGTGTGCATTTTCGCGCATGGTGGTGACTTTTCGTGGCAGGCGCAAGGGAAACCTCGTGTTTTGGTGCTCCAAAGTCGACTTTTCGTGACAGGTGCAAGGGATCGGAGCTGTTTTGCTTCGAAATGCAGTTTTCGTGGCAGGTATACAGCACTTTGGACATGGTGGTGATCGTCGAGGAGCCCAGATTTCGTGACAGGTGCAGTGAATCCTGACTTTTGGACATGTGGCAGTGAATCCTGACTTTTGGACATGTGGCTCGTTTGCAGATTTCGTGGCAGGCGCAGCACTTGCTGGGCTGTGCTTTGGTATGTGCTTTTGTTGCCTGGGTTTTTGGCCC